GGAGTTCAGGACCGACGTCACCGCGCTCTTCCTCGCCGTCCACTCCGGCAACGTCGCTCTCGTCAGGAACCTCCTGTTCCAGTCGATCCTTTCCATTCTACCGTCTCTTCGGTCCGCACCGCACCTGAAAAGCGCAAAGATTCCGGTGGCGCTTGAACTGAATCAAGGATTCCCCGTGTCCCTTATTGGCTCATATCCAGCGTAACCATCAACACCATCATCCTCAGCCTATGGAAAATGAAAACGGTCACGTCCGTGGAAAGAAGACTCAGCCCTCGGACTTCGAACATGGTACAACAAGACAAACAAATCCACCGCACCCCCGACAAGCTGCCGGATTCTACCCAACTTCTCCGAAGACCGCCGCCATCTGAAAGCACAATCAATGCATTAATTATCAGAATTATTGCAACCTTACCGTTTAGCGGTTACAGAGTTCTAAACTCTAAAACGGCCCTCGCCGGAAAAGCCATAATTGGGCTTTCAAATCGTCTAATTTATGACGAGTTAGAGCTATTTACAGCTCCAAAAAACAGAGATATATGTGGTTTCAGCATCACTCATAATGAAAGGCGAAAAGTAAGGGGAAATTCAAAACTTAGTACATTCAAAGGGCACGTTAAAGGCTGGCTACTACACTTCAAACTCAAATTAGTGAGCAGCAAATCAGCTTGTACCGGAAAAGGAATAAATTTGTTTTTTAATTACCATCATTAAAATGATCATTTAATGGCTGCATTCGTCCGTTTCGGACTGATTTGACGCTTGGTGTCGTTAATTCCCTATTTGGGTTTTATTACATCAATTATTTGATGTTATTGGGGTTTTAATGGCCTTTTGATTAAACGTTTCAAGAATTTAGTGATTAACTAAATAAATTTTTTTTAAAAGTGGGCGGAAGCTTAGCAAGCTAACTTTGGCTCTTAACCAATTAATGGCCTCATTGGTCCATTTATTTGGGTTTTAATACATCAGTTATTTTATTTGATGTTATTGGGTCCTTAATGATCCGTTACAAGTGATTAATGAGTCACTAAAGCGGTCCTTTTATGGCGCTTTACAACCTTTATGGTTGGTTTATATATCAAATTATGGGATAGAAAGAATTAACTTCTAACGGTCATAATTAATTTTTGACTTTTAGAATTAATTAATTTATGGTTTTCAAAGTACCAGAGGAGTAAACTGTCTAGCTCGCTGCCCGGTTTGCTGGAGAAGACCGGAAAGTCTTGAACATCTGTTCTTCAAATGCCCCTTGGCCACAAGATTGTGGTCGCTCATGGGTCTAAATGACTTCATCTCCTCGGCCCCGACTGTGAATTTCAGTCTCTGGTGGCGACATGTTATGCTTTCTGAGCACCCCCAAACCCACATTCTCCTATACGTTTGTGTATTATGGAGGATCTGGAAGTCTAGAAATAAGGTGGTCTTTGAGCATGTCCAGCCTCATGCCCGGTCTCTCGCTCGTCAGTGTTTTTTTTTTTTTTTCCAAGTTCGCGATCTGTCTTCCTCCCTTCCTTTGGTCCCTGCTCCGCCCCAGCCTTCCCGTTCTCGCCTCTCGTCTTGGTCCCCTCCTCCTGTTGGCTTTGTGAAGATCCACTTTGATGCTGCTGTTCGTCCTTCTGGGTGCTCGTCTGGTCTTGTGGTGCGCAGTTCAGATGGGCATGTGGCTCTGGCTTTAGGGTCTCTCCATCCCGGTATTGTTGATCCCTATCTTGCGGAGCTCCTAGCAGCTAGGGTCGCCATCGCCCTTGTAGTCTCCAAAGTGCTGCCTTGGGTCATCATAGAAGGAGTTTCAGAGGTGGTGATTCGGCAGCTTCGTCAAGGTGCTCTCTCTGACTCCATTGGAGGACCGGTGCTTCGGGATTGCTCCCTTCTCCTTTCTTCCGTCTCTATTTCTTTAGAGTTTAGGGCAGTTCCTCGGACTGCTAACAGTGCTGCCCATAGAGTGGCGCAGAAAGCACTGTTACTCTCCCCTTTAGAGTTTTGCGCCTTTGATTTTGTGGGTTGGCTTCTCTGATGTATTGGGTTGGGCAGGGTCGGGGTAGATTGTATAGGTTTTCTCTTGACATTTCTTGGAAAAAAAAAAAAAAAAAAATAATAATTAATAAAGTAACTATTTAAATTATTAATAATAAAATAATAAAAAATTAAGTGACATAATTAACCTTTGGATTACCAACCTTAACTAATCACAAGTACTAGTTGAGTTTGATTCGTTCAAACTTACTATTCATGTCAACAAATAAAATTTTACGCCGGTCATGATCTCCTAGATAGATGACCGATTCAATTATGATGAAAGAAGACACTAGTTGATTAGAATTTGTTGCACATTTTAACTACTTAGGCTTTGTATTTAATCTCAGTGATTTATAGCTAGTGGAAGAAGCAAAAGATAATACAAGCTTCGATCCAATTGTCAGATTATAGTGAATAGAAATTCAGTAGCCGACAAGAGAGACTTGGTCTGTAAAAAATAAAATAATTACAAGTTTCCAAACAGAAAATGTTAACTACATTGAAATGATCATGTCAATGGATCTTATAGTGGGAGGGAGGCTGGCTTGGATAAACATCAAGATAGTGAGGTCAGGAGAGAGGAGACTCAATACAGTAAAATGTGGAATATTGTATAATGAAAATAAAAATAATTTAAAAAGAGCGGAAATGGTAGTGTTATTTTTTGGCGACTACGTTATCGTATCAGTGGAATTGGTTGTATTAATTCATTGATGGTGAGTCAGTATATTCTTTTTAATACAATTTTATACCATTTTTACGATAATCTATTACAGATTATTATGTCACGATATAGTAAATATTGTTATTTTTATATATGTAATATGATGATATAGTTTCACGATAATAACTTGATGTAGCATATTGACGATGACAAGGTAAATTAGGGTTTATTGCTAACACTACTCCTTAGAGACAATTGGGCTATCCTCAATGAAGAAATAACAAAATAGATAGGAATTTAAACTAGATCCAACAATTCAGGAAGAACTTCATTATGAATTTCTTGATCGATTGGCTACAAATGTTGAGTTAGGTGTTTAAGTGCATTAAATAATCAAAGAGTCCTCAGGGGCTTAAGATTATGGGCTAATTAATCAAAATGTTCACAAACAACAAAATGGCCATATAGCGTATCATGAGATAACAAAATAATAATTTCATATTTTTTTAGCCATATTTTCATTTAAAATAACAAATTAGCTTTTGACACTATGCATATAATCAATAAAAATTTATCAAACACCTAACCGACCTATAAAATTACATCTTATCCAGAGTGAGCTAACTGACCATTTTGGATGAAAATACGAATGAAAAGACATTGAATAGTTGTTTTGTTATATCTTGATACTTGTGTGATTTTTTTGTTATGTTTTAAACCTTTGTGATCATATTATTACTGGCCCAAACCTATGAGATCATTTTGATCAATTGCCTCTAAGATCCTTGACCTCCTCTTTAATTCATAATCATTTTTAAAAAATGTACAAGATGTGCAAGAGAAATATCCGCATTAATCTCATCTACAAAAGAGAATCATGTCGTTGTTATACCATACAAGGCGAAGGAACAACCAAAAATAAGACTCCTTCTATGATATCAATTCATCAAACATCAATAGAAATGAAAAGCATCACACTTTAGCATTGGAATTATCTTCAAACTTTTATAAAAAAAACATTGATCGATTTTTTGGTTAATTATTTGTCAAAATAAGATCGTCATGGGGAAGAACTAGTATCTCGAACAATGCTTCTCTACATCCAACATGTGGAGCATACCTGTAGCCAATGAATTCATCAAATTTGACCAAATCCGACATGGGCCGGAAACGAGACAAAAAAAACTTATACAAAAGAAACACAAGTGTACATTAATTAATTATTAACTTTGATTAAAAAAACATATTTTGCCAGATTTTCTTGGATCCAATGCTGATAATCAAGACAACGATATCATATAGGCCAGGCCAGCTTTCGTTTCTGAATAATCAAGCATACCCTAATTACGTGATGAATGAAATATTGAAATATAACAATATTATTGCTAAAACGAGATAAACTATTACAAATTATAATCATAAAAACAGGTATCTGCCTGATGAAAATAGATACAAAATATTATTGGATAATATCGCGTTGATGATGCTTCTTCTTTGTAAAGGAATTTCATAGACAACAATCACCGCCTCTTCGATCTCGCGTATGTCATAAACCAACTGGTCCAAATAATTCGAGTTAGGGGAGAGATCCGATCCATGTATTGTATTTAATCACTTCCTTATAACGAAAGCCATTTCATCAGAATAATAAACATTGATCTTAGTTATGTGTTTCTTCACTCATCCGATTAAGCTGACTGGATTATTAAACCCATTTTTAAATGAAACGTTATGTACGAAGTGAATCTACGTTTCATGATCATGTCGCGGTGTACCTGAACTAATTTCCAATTTTAATGCAATTGCTAAAGCGAAACGCCATGTATGCTGGCTAGAAGTTTCTAAGGAAAGATCCAAACCAAAAACCCATCCCCTCCATTAACATGCCTAATGTCTACATAATAACTAACTAACCGTGTACTTTAATAGTGGCTTATTTTCTTCCCTTTTAAATCATGACAATTGATTGGTTCGTCAAGAGGACTACCACATAATTCATCAATAAAATAACATAATCACAAATATATTAAACTAACTTAATTGACTAGTTCATCAATTTATTATAATTAGCAATTATTTACCAAAATCATTGCACCAAGAAAGTCACCGCGTTAGCTAGTACGTACGTGAAACTAGTGGAGTCCCATTAACCAATTTGTTCCATTTTGATATTGTTTTTCTCTTCGTCACTCACGAGCCTATATAAACCAAAGAATCAAAGGCTTCAAAATCCATCCTCAAACTTCCCCACCATAACACATTTGGAAACTTGAAACTTGGTAGGGAGAAGAAGCAAACCAAGATTTGCCTAAGAATGGCCAACTTTTGGCCTCACCAATGGATGTTCGTGGCGGCGATATGCCTGCTATCGATCACCTACGTAGCAGCCGACGATAAGCCTTACTACTACTCATCTCCACCTCCACCTTACTACTACAAGTCACCTCCGCCACCGTCACCGTCGCCGCCACCACCGTACTACTACAAGTCTCCTCCACCACCTTCACCATCGCCACCGCGTCCATATTATTACAAGTCTCCCCCTCCACCGTCTCCATCATCTCCTCCTACTTACTATTACAAGTCTCCACCGCCACCATCTCCATCTCCTCCACCACCGTACTACTACAAGTCTCCTCCTCCACCGTCGCCATCTCCTCCACCACCATACTACTACAAGTCTCCTCCTCCACCGTCGCCATCTCCTCCACCACCTTACATCTACAAGTCGCCACCGCCACCATCACCCTCACCTCCTCCTCCATACATCTACAAGTCACCACCACCACCGTCGCCATCTCCTCCACCACCTTACATCTATAAGTCGCCACCTCCGCCATCACCCTCACCTCCTCCTCCTTACATCTATAAGTCGCCACCACCACCGTCACCGTCGCCTCCTCCTCCATACATCTACAAGTCGCCACCTCCTCCATCACCTTCCCCTCCTCCACCTTACCTCTATAAGTCGCCACCTCCGCCGTCTCCATCACCACCACCACCATACTATTACAAGTCTCCGCCTCCACCGTCACCATCTCCTCCACCACCTTACATCTACAAGTCGCCACCTCCTCCATCACCTTCCCCTCCTCCTCCTTACATCTACAAGTCGCCACCTCCTCCGTCTCCATCGCCGCCACCACCATACTACTACAAATCACCGCCGCCACCGTCACCATCGCCTCCTCCTCCATACATCTACAAGTCTCCACCTCCGCCATCACCTTCCCCTCCTCCTCCTTACATCTATAAGTCACCGCCGCCGCCATCTCCATCTCCTCCACCACCATACTACTACAAATCACCACCACCACCGTCACCATCGCCTCCTCCTCCTTACATTTACAAGTCGCCACCGCCACCATCACCGTCCCCTCCTCCTCCTTACATTTACAAGTCGCCGCCGCCACCATCACCGTCCCCTCCTCCTCCTTACATTTACAAGTCACCACCGCCACCGTCACCATCGCCTCCTCCTCCTTACATCTATAAGTCTCCACCGCCACCGCCACCATCACCCTCACCTCCTCCACCTTACATCTACAAGTCGCCGCCGCCGCCATCACCATCGCCTCCTCCTCCTTACATCTACAAGTCGCCGCCGCCACCATCACCGTCCCCTCCTCCTCCTTACATCTACAAATCACCACCGCCACCATCCCCATCGCCTCCTCCTCCATACATCTACAAATCACCACCACCACCATCCCCATCGCCTCCTCCTCCATACATCTATAAGTCTCCACCTCCACCATCTCCATCTCCTCCTCCTCCTTACATCTATAATTCACCACCTCCCCCATCTCCTTCTCCACCGCCACCATACTACTACAAATCTCCACCACCTCCATCACCATCTCCTCCGCCACCATACTACTACAACTCCCCACCACCACCGTCACCATCTCCACCGCCGCCATACTACTACAACTCCCCACCACCTCCGTCACCATCCCCGCCACCTCCTTACTACTACTACTACAAATCCCCACCACCTCCGGCCACTTACTAAACAATTCATAAATTAATTACTTCCGCCACTATACATGTAAGTTCGTTCACATATATAACCCTAATCATTGTACTATGCATGTCATTCTCTAAGTCCATGACATTATCCATATATGTATCTAACATTTTGTTTGATATTTGGTCTTGATAATTGATGTAGGTTAATTTGTGAAGGAAGATAATAACTACGACAAGTCATAGAGAGACCCATTTTGGGACTACGACGGAATGCTTCTTGGATTTGATACTTCCTATATATATATATATATTGTGTTTATATATTTTACGCGATTCTTTTGGCCCCTACAGTGCATATTGAAAGTTTTGATTTGTTTGTGTTTTATCACGATATTGTTTTATTTTTCAATCGTATGATCTCACATGTTTGTTTGTAACCAATATAATAAGAGTTTTTTTTGTTTTTCTTTTGTGAAATTACAATTACGAATGATTTTTTTTTCCATTAATATTATGTTTCAATTAATTAAATATTAAGTTAAATTATTACAAAAAAAAACCATTAAGTTAAATATTTGGTTATGATAACATATAATTCTGAACTACACATATACCATGCATATACTAAAAATTTCCAGTATTTAGCAATCCGCTTATGATTTTCCAATCTTGATTCATGCTCTCGGTGGAGATGTAAAAAAATGTTGTTGAAAACTTGAAATTATGGTTTATGAAGCCACCAATTATCCCACAACGCCCAGCCCAACCTCGTGTCTGCTGGAGCCACCTCTTCGGGCCCAAGTTCCAGTCCATTCGTTGGCCCAGGTGACCTCAACTTCCATCGTATGCTAAAGAATTTCCCTTAGGACAGAAAGTTTATGGCCCATTTATACGAATTAGCTCTAGCTCCATCCATCGATCGCCTCCTCCACAAGTCCACAACCACATGACCAGGAGCGTTGATTGTGTGAAAAAGGATTTGGAACTAGGAGAAGATTTGAACCCGTCATGTTGGGTATTATCCTATTGAACTCTTTCTTGAATAATTTCTTTTGAAATCAACATGTGCAAATTGCAATAGGGTGTTGTACTATAATTATCCAAAACAAGAATTCTTTTCGAATGAACCCCCCAGTGATTTGAGTAACGTAACTAGTCTCTAAGGTTAGCGAGATTCCTGTTATGGTGAAGTAAAAGATCTTTCACTATAGTGGGAAGAAGACAGGAGGGAACGAGGTTGTACAAGAGAGAAAGGGGCGGTTATCTAGTGGGAGTCGTCTTGGAACTCGTGATGGGGTGGGTGTTTGACATCTTGCAGGACCAGTCAATGAATCGTGGAGGTCCTGTCTCAAAATTGAGACATAGTTGAAATTGACACTCCCTAACCAATTTTACCAATTAAACAATTAAGAAATAGTCAGATATCTAATATATTATATACCCATAGTTTTGCATAACCACTCAAGAGTCAATCGTTTCTCTCTTTTGGACTTGTAACGACTGTTGCTCTTTGGATCGGAAAATTGGAGGATTCGACAATGCAAGAAAAATGAAAGTGCGCACACACACGACACACGATTTACATGGTTCACTAACACAATGTGTGTTAGCTAGTCCACGGGCAGGAGAGAGCCAGTTTCACTATACTTCAAAGAGATACAGATTACAGAGGAGTGTGAGAAGTATTTATAATACTTCTCCTAGGTCTAACCCTAATCCAATATGATAAAGGAAAAGCAGTTACAGACCAGACCCAGAAAACGAGCCCAAATAACAGTGAGAACCCCGTGACTTTCATTTGTAGCGGCTGATAGTCCGATTTAAGTCACATCAACAGGACTCATAAAAAAATAAAGCTTTGTTTCTATACTATATTTGTTATTGTAGAGTGTAGACAACAACATAAAGGCACTAAATTTGGATAAAACTCATACATTATAATGGATGAAACCTTAAAACGAAAGAACTTTGTCATTTTCTGATAAATTCTAACTTCTAAGAGACTAACACAACCACACCGAATTCATTAAACCATAGCACCTTTATGTATTTTTTTATGTGGCTGCTTGTAATAACTTTAAGATAATTGTATTACTTGCATCTATTTATATTAAGGGTTAACTATGGTGGTATGTTATGTTTTATTCATTGTATAAATCACGAATTCATGCATTAACAATATTATTTTCTCACGTACTAATAATGTTATTGTTATATTGATTAACTTATTTAACCAATTAACCAAACTGGTTAAAATTTTATTTGGTTGATGTATTTTTTTTGATAAATTTGATTATGATATTGTATTTCATTAATAATATAATTTAACTTATATTAATTTGATATACAATTTGATATATTTGTTTGATCAAAAATATACTAACCTTTACGAATACTACTGCTTACAGGTTAGTATATTTTTGAGAAATCCAACCCCAATCCAATCCTATCCATTGTGCGCAAGATATTATTTTCCCACCATCTAAACTTACCTTGTAATAGCTACAAGCCCACAACTAATTAAGGTGGGTAACTTGAACAAACACCCGGCCGGCAATTATAACTAAAAAGTGCACACGTCGCCGGCCGGCGTCCAATACATCTATTTGCCCTTTTACGTATTAGTCATTTCCTTGCAATTGAAAGCTAAGTGATCAATTGGCCGTACTAATGGAATAATACTGTGCTTTAGTCGGATTTCATATGCTTATGTTTTCCCTTCCCTTTTATTCATTTCCCCATCTAATTAAGCTTTTGATTGTTTGACTGGTCTCCGGTGGAGATTGAATGGGCCGCCGGCCCATTGTTTCTTTCCTTAGCTTAGGCACAAAAACGGCTTACGAATCAAACAAAACACATGCAAGAAAGTGATGGTTTCTATGCACATATATGGTTCACGAATTAGAGACCGTTTCAAACCATAACATCTATAAATAGAAGATTTAAGCCTCACTCATTCTTCATCCAACCAAAACACACAACAATATACACACATAGTTTCCCCAACCAAAGACATTTCCAAAATGGCCACCATCATTTGGCCTCACCACTTCATCATGTTCATTGTGACCGCTCTACTAGTCATCAATGTCGCCGGAGATCATCACCTTGATGGATACACACCTCCGGCTCCTCCACATGCTTATTATAAGTCTCCCCCGCCGCCATCTCCACACTGGCCGGAGCCATCACCGCCGCCACCTTCTGACCCTTGGACGTCACCACCTCCACCTCCTCCTTCATGGTCGCCTCCTCCTCCGCCTTACGTCCACAAATCTCCACCTCCTCCTTCTTGGTCGCCGCCTCCGCATTACGTCCACAAGTCGCCTCCTCCTCCTTTTTCATGGTCATCGTATCCACCTCCTCCATACAAATACAAGTCCCCGCATCATCCATCGTGGTCACCTCCGCCGCCTTCTTCTCACCACGCTCATGAGTCTGGCTCTCACGACGACGACGACGACGAGAAGGATCGTCCTTCTCCGGTCCACAAACCTCACCGCAAGTCTCCTCCTTCGCCGCCCCGTCACGTCAGGAAGGATCCTCATCGCAAATCTCCTCCGCCACCTTATCACAAACACAAATCGCCATGGATGCATCACTCCCCGCCGCCTCCTTACCATCACTAGGATCACCGAAAGCGATCGATTTCCCAGATCAAATATGATCTACACTAATCACTTAAGAAGGATGTCTGTTATAAGTTCATGCATTAATTAAAGGTACTCTATGTGCCACATGCAAGAAGGGGTTATCTCATATATAGTTTATCAGCAGACTTCTTCGAGAGGTTACAAATAGTTTACTTTTTGTAACCAATGTGATGGTCACAAATAGTTTACTTTTTTTTGACGTTTCTTGGAACTCTTCGATATCAAGTTAGATCGTCGTCTAGTGATGGTCTTTATATTGTTTTGAAATGTTGTACCCTATTTTCCTTGAGTTTTTATTTCCTTAATACAACAAGTACCAATAGTTACTAGCTAGTTCTCTCTCTCTGACAGTGCACTACAGCTGAGCTTATCGATGGCTACCGCCAGTTGCTTTCGCCACATTAACTAGAAGCACATATATATAGCAAAGATCGGTTTAATACCCGTATATGTATTAACGTATTAAATGTGTTTGAAACTCACATTTTCATACTATTATATATAGATCTGATTTATTTTTTCCGGTTTGTTTGATATTTCTCATGCTAACCACTTATTAAATTGTATAACATATTTATTAATACATTGTTCTTAAGGAATTAAATTGATCATTTAAACATTTTAAATTCAAATCTAATTATAAATATATATTTTTAATAACTTATGCCAAAATTTTAAACACATATATACTATTATGCTACATACGGATAAAACTCGATACCATGATATCTACCATATTTTAATAACTATAACTAGAGGTTAATATGGACTTTTTTTTTATAATAATGATAGTGCATTAAAAATAAGTTGAGAAGAGTTAACAAAAGGAATTCAATAGAGGTGAATACCAAAGAAAGACCAACAGGAGAAGAAAATACAACAGAGAATGAAGAAGGGAGAGTAGAAAAATACTTGAGCTTCACCACACAAATTTTCTTCTTCTTTTTCTGAGAGCTTACAAGCGAGGAAGTGAAAACAAATGTCGAATTTTTTTTCCTGTGTGAACGAGGGCTGGTCTAGTTGGTGAATCGACACACTTTTCATTGTAAGATTGTGTGTTCGATTCCCAGAAGCGGCCTTTCCCCCTTTCCTTTCTAGTAGCACCTTGGGATGTAAATAAAAAAAAGAAATTTGTTTACAGCTACATGGAAAATCTCCATAGTATGACAAGACCACCAGAAAGGACAAGACAACAAGCTGCTAATGAGAACAACCATCACGTATTTTTTATTAAAATTTTCTAACTATATTTGTAAAATAAACTAGCAAGAATTAATAACATGGAAATTAGTGTAGTATCAGTATCTCAATATCAAAATTTCGAATACCGAATTACACCCTAAAATATATCCCAATCACAATCCCTAAATAATTTTGGCATTTCAATCTT